TGCTGTCTGCATAATGCTGAACTCTTCTGTCCTCTGGCAGCTGCCTTCCAGACTTAGCACAGCCTCCCTTTAGAAAGTGCACCCTTGACTTCCTTCTCCCTCCTGTGGCTCAGACTGACACAGCCTGGAACCAGAGAAGAGATGACAGTTTTTTCAGGAGGTCCTTTCTCTCCTTATCTGGGCCAGCTGCACAAAGATTTACTAGTCTATACAAATGTCCCTCCATCAGCCCCACACCATCAAAGGTGAGGTGAAGACACAGATAATTTAATTATGAAATGTAGGTTTTCCCCCTCCATGTCCCTACTCAGATATGTAGCTCTGTGAGAAGGCTGTGACTTCATCCATTTGCAAGATACCCATAAATGCCAAGTACTCTGCTTGAATGAGGCCATAGTTTAATGAGACAGAAAATCTGGATGCTAGGACTGATCAAAACTGCCAGAACCTCATGATACAAAGTACTGGTCTGTGTTGTAAGCTCACATTTAATAAAAAAAAATAAAAATTAGGGTGTGATATTACTTGCATCTCCAGTACTGAAGGTTTTTCTTCTCTATGGCAGGGAAGATGGTCATCAAAACTATGTCAGGGTACTATAATTTAACCATAAGGTTTGTTAATAATTTACCTGTATTTAATTTAATCACCTTTGCTAGTAGAGAAATTGTACTGTGCAACAACAGTTAGCATTTTAGAAATCAGGTCTGAGACGCTCCAACTCTACAGCAGATATTGTCTTTTCTTCTATGGCTGGCATACTGTTGGTGTGAAAGCAAAATTACTGACAAAAAGCCTGTATCCTGGTGTTGGCATTCAACAGAAATGCCGTGAGGCTGTTCATGTCTGACCGTGTTGGCACTGCTGGCCAATCTGTACAAGTTAGGCATGTGTGGTTGTGGAGCAGTGATTTTAATTTTGTCCAGTTAAATTGGTCAAAGGTTGTTCAGCATAGTCAGACCCAAGTTGGCCGAGGCACTGGGGAACGAGGATGCAGACATCCATAAGCCAAGCCCTGTGATAAATCACGTGAGTGCTGACAGTTACCATGGCTTATTCTGGGTGGCTGCCCAGTCCCCTGAGTGTGATATTGGTTCCCTATTTCCTCTTAAAAAGCCACCAGGGGAATTTAGTGATAGCTCTGTCAGGATAGATACATGTGTGAACACATATTTGGAAGGGTCTGAGAACAATAAAGTAGCAATGATTCTACATTTTAGTCACCAAATACAACCACATTCATAAATAGTGAACTAAAGCAGTTCTGGATACTGGTAAAATGAATTGGAGAGAAGTGAGTTCAATTGAATTAATTAAAGACTAATTCCTTATTTTTGTGGATTATTATTTGCTCCTGGCAAAGGGCTGAATACAGTTTTTTCCACAGTTTTGCCACTATAGGCATAAGATCTGTGTAAAAGCACCTATCTGGGCAATCTGTTGGCTAACTAAATTAATTTTGAGTAATTGATAGCATAAAACAATTTGGCAGAAATACTATAAACTTCCCAGGCACCAAAGGGCTCTGATCATGCAGGATCTAAAGCAGAGGATTCAGAAGTTAACAAGTCAACACATATAAAAGTATTTTATTGATTCATGCTCTGTTACTTATTTATTTCTCATTTTAACACAATATTTTATCTCAAAAAAACCCCTTTTACCAAATAGCAAATTTTTAGGAAAAAACATTTAGGAAAATATTGCCAACACATATTTATGCTTGTGACAAAATTCTCTAATCTTTCATCCAAAAAGGAAATTATTAGGAAAATGATTTCTCACTTGTTGAAGGTTTAATTCTTTAGTATAGATTTTTTGAACATGGTAACTGTTCCTAAAGAGACTGGAATGAGCACTCTGAAAATACTTTTGAGTATGTGTGATTTCACACACAGGAGCACTCACCTACAGTTGTTTCTACTGTTCTGGTGAATATGTGGACTATGACAGCATGTAGTATGTCCTGGAACATTTGAAACACTCCCCAGCCTCAGAATATTCAGCAATTTGTGCGTTTGGGGTCTCAAAACTGAGCTCCAAATGGGCCTGTTGGTTTTCCCAGTGCTGTGCTGTGCAGCCAAATGATTCAAAAAGCGCCGATGTAGGTTTACCTAAAGAGTTTTAAAGACTTGTACTATAGTGATAGTTGAGCTGTATGGGGTTTTTTGTCATATGGGAAGAAGAATTTTCCTACTGGCTGCCCCAGATTGGACCAAACTGTCTTAGTGAAGGAGTCTGGACAGATCTCTCCTTCTGCAAGTCTGTGATGCCCTCTAGCAGCATCCCAGCTCAGTTGCGATGTGTGTGCCCATTTGACTCGTCAAAGCCACCCTGAGCAAGAGACTCTGAACTGGGTAATCATTACCACCGACTTCTGTGTGGCCTTCTGCTCAGCCATCTGTAGCTGTCGCCTCCTGCTAGGAGTTTTGCGTGATCCGGGTTGGGAAGGGGAAACAAAGAAAAATCCTTCCCCAGGCAGCAGTGGAGGCGGTTTCCTACAGCTCTGACCCTGGTGGCTGTGGTCCCTGGTGCCTGAGGAAGTACAGGCTCTGAACAGACTTGCTTTGAGGTTGCTATAGTCATTACATGGCTGTCCCAGGTGTATTCTCTTGGGCCTAATATGAACTCTGAGGGTAGACTCTGCAGCTTTTCTTTCAGTAGAGATCCTGGCTTAGGTCTCCCTCCTCAGCTGCTTGTTTTCATAAAACTTGAAATGTAGTGTCTTTCAAACCACTGCCTTCTCCGTTAAATTTTATTATAATTTAGGAATTATCTTAAATGTTACTGGTCAGGGTAGGCAGAAACGAAAGCACAGAGCATAGTCACACAAGTCTCTTCTCTTAACAAAAAATTCTGTACCATAATTAAATGATGTGACATAAATCACTGTGTGCCACAGTTCATAATATCAACTCCCCGGATCCAAACAGATGCAACAGCAATGGCCACATGCTCTAATCTGGCTGCAGGGTTTCTCCTGTTAGTCCACTGTGGTAGCTTACAGTACCATGTCCTTCTTACAGGAGACCTGCTGCAGTACCCGTGGTTCATTTACATCCTGGCAGGGTGTGCAGGTGGTGTTGTTGTCCTGGTGGTGGTTGTGTCCTCAGTCATATGTTGCTGCATGAAGAGGAAACACAAGTTCATCCCAGTGCCTTCAGGTGAGTGGAGAACACTGTTGCCCCTGGGATGAGTCTCACAGAGAACTGTGTTTGTGCTGCCTGGAGTTGAAATAGCATAAACTGGTCTTGGCTGTGTGGCTACTTGTCCTCCAGCCAGCCCTCCCTTGACCTGGTAGAGCAGAAAACTACTAGCTCATAGACAACTGTTACCACCAGCAGGGGCTTGAAACCTTGCTTTTCCCTTTTTCACCTCACACTTGCCAGCATGTCCTCCTGGGAGGAAAGAAACATAGGAAAACCTTTTCTGTGGACAAGAAAATTGGCCCTTGTTCAGGTCTGATCCTGAAAGCACCTGAGGGCTTCCGATGGCAGTCCTTTGTCAGCACCAGTCCCTGAGTGCAATCTGCCTGTGCCCAGTGAGGCCACCTCAAGCTGTGATCTTGTCAGCATGGCCAAGCTGGTCCCTGTCAGGTTGGCAATGCCCTTCTATATTCAGCATCTCTCTGCTCTGGGAATGGAACCAGTGCCACATGAGGAGGAGATGCAAGCATGTGTTGGTGATCTGGCCTTGCAATGAACATGACGGAGTTGCTGGGATGTGGGGGACCTCTTCAAGTATCTGGTTTTTGTTTTACAGATGAGGAGAAGGATGACGGATTAACAATGTCCGTGGTCTCCAGTGAAGGTGTGAAGAGCCCCCCCAATGGAGACCATGTTGAGGTTCAAGCTGCCCAAATCGACTGCCCTCCAAAGCCTGGTGGGTCCAGTGACTTGTTTTAAGTTGGACAGAGCTCGTTTAGGAGGGTGAAGGACAAAATGGATGTGTGTGGCTGATGGGGGAGGAGCTGACTGTAGAGAAAGGCCTGGGACTCGCTAGTGCAGGGAAGATGCTGCATCTTATCCAGACGACAGAAGCTGGTGCAGGTCATTTATCGGTACCTTACTTGTGCTCTGCTTCAGCACAGGAGTAGCTTCTGCCTTCACCCATACATGACATATAGCAGCAGCCATCTCATAAGCATCCCACAGAGGGTACTGCCAACAGAATGAAAACTGTCTGTTCCAGCATCTCCTGTGCTAAAATATGCATCTCAAAAAACAGCAACCCCCCCAAAACTTAGCAGTTTTCCTGCAATTTTATCATATTCACCCCCTTCTCATCAGTAACATCTTGTAAGAATTGGCATTGTTTCTGTATCAGTCATCTTCAGGACAGCATCCACCAACATGCTGAGCTGTAAGCACAGCTAGATCCTATCAAACTCAGAGGGTTGTGTATTTCCTTAAATTGGTGCTAAAGTGGGAATACAGTAATATTTTAAATCCTTCAAAGAAATCATGATTAAAACCCCACAGCTTTAGCACAGTATGGTCAAGAGACTGCAGCGATAAAAACCTTTCAGAACTCCCCTGTTCTGTGAGGTCTTGATGTTAATACTCCACTTTTTGCATTATGTTTCCTTCAATTTTGTTTCACAAACACGAATGCTGGCAGCACCTTCTCGCTTCAACTGAAGTAGGTCTAGCAGAGACATCACGAACCAGAGCAACATGACATAGGTCATAGCCTGGTCTCAGCAGTGCTGTCTCCACTTCTGGTGTCCTTCAATGTACCATACATGGCCTTTCAGCAGCTCAGCTATCCTTTACGTCTGACCTTGAATGCTGCTTTCAAAATATTAAATGCTACTCATGAACATAGTGTAATAAAGAAAAAAAATAAATGTAAGTCATTCAGACCATTGTTTGATATTAATACATTTCAAGTGCAGAACTTTTTTAAAAAAAGAATATTTTTATTAATAGTTTTTTTAAAACAAAAAATTACGCATTGTCAGTTTGACTAACAAAATATCTCATATTTACATTTTCTACAAATAAGTAAAAAGTAGAGATGTGTGTGGAAACTGTTTAGGTGAGAACATATTAAATGTGTGCTGTTAGCCATTTTTAATTCCTCAGATGTAACTGAATAGATCTGGCTTTGGTATTTTGGTATATTCTGGGCAGTGAGCCCAGACAGCTTCAGCACCAAAGTGTCTAAAGCCATGACAGCCCAATAGATGAGTAAATACAAAGAAAATTGAAATTTGGTTTGCAGGCACCAGGGAAGAGGGGACTGAGCTGGTTAGGCAGCCTGCAGCATCAGGGACTGAGCGGAGAATTTCCATGAGGGTGAGCATAGCACGGGTGCTTATAAACCATTTCTCCCTTCTTTTCCAGATTCTGCTGGTCAAGACATTGAGCCCCAGCCCCAAGTGGAAGAAAACTTACAAATGGAGATAGAGCCTCAGGAAATGCCAGACCCAGAGGTCATAGTTGATGTGGAAAGCCAGGAAAATGCCTCAGACTGTTTTCCGGATCCAACTGATGACTGATGTGGCACGCTGGCTGTTCCACCCTGTCTTGGAGCCTATGACACCTGTCCTTTGCATCCCATAGTCTCACTGTGTGTAAGAATTGGTCCAGAAAATTTTAGCAGGGCAAAGACATAAGGTGTCAGGCCTGTTAATCTCATCTAAAAAAAAAAAAATTTAAAAAAATATATAAGAAAAAGCACATGTGTGGCTTCAAGGCCACCCTGCTGTGGGCTGACAGGTTCACTAATACACAGAACCAGACAGCAATTTGATGCTTTGCGTGTTAACAGAGCTGCAGTTAAACTGCAGAGGACAGCCTGAAATGAGACGGGCAGTTCCTCCTGCTACCTGCCCACCCCATGCCTTGCCATGTCTTCTCCAGACAGTGGTTTCTGCAAGGGGCAGGCATGACAGGTGGACTGAGGTGTCCTGCTGGTCCCAGAAAGAGACAAGTACATACCAGAAATTTCCTGAGAAAGCCTCATCTCAGGAGATTTCAAGGCATTTTTCACAGTCCCTTCAAAAAAAAGCTCAATGGAGGTTTCAGCTAGGTATCTGCTGTGCTGGGTGTTTATCTGAATGGCTCCTCTGAGCTCCAGACCCTTTGTGATTTGGCCCTCACTGGTTGCTGCATGGGGCCAGGGGTGGTGGTAGGGGCTCCTACATGCAGACCCTGGGAGGTGACGCTGGCTTGCTCGCCCTTTGGTGCCCTGTAATGGCAGGGGGCTACCGGTTACCTTTCACCAGAACCTAACTGCTGGGGTTGCCAGTGAGTTGAAACAGCTCTGTCGCTTGCTTGCTTGCTTCCAGCAGAAGGAGACCTGGGGCTTGGATCTGTAATTTTGGCAGAAAAGTTGATTATAATGCTGAGATCGTTCATCAGTGCAAGCATTAGTGCCTTTAGTGTAATAGTTTAGGTACTGTGAGCTGAATAATCTGGCCATCTGTCTGTGCGTGTAGGCTTTTTTAGTGCTGTGTTATTTGCACAGACAGCAGCAATTTATAGAATCTCTTAGGCAAGTCTTGCTGCTAAGCATGTCCTGTTCTGCTCAGGGGAGGTTTGCGAGTGGAGCAGCTGGGGTAGGCCTGCAGGGAAGAAGGACGAGGTGAGGGGAGGGCAAGGACTCAGTCATGGGCAGCAGGTAGCCGAGTCCTTTGGCAAAGCTGCTGGGGACTGCAGGGCTGTTGAGCTGCAGGATGCACTGCCAGAGCAAGGTATTTACTCTGTTAGTGTATTTTAGTAGTCCGAAGTGAGGCATGTGGGCTAGAAAGGCATGATAGAGTAGAAGTAGAGCTGTTACAGAGCAGGGCCAAATGAGATGAGGAGGTGTGTATTGTGTTCCTCTCTTCACTTGTCATTTTGACCCTGTTTTATATTGTGCTGACATTGCATCATGAATCATCTGGAAACGGATTTAAGGCATGCTTTGTAAATGCCACCCAGCAAGGTCTGCAAGAACCCCAGCAAGATCGAAACCAAGCTAATGATTCTCTCCCAGGTGGGGGAGGTGGCCCGATGGCTGCATGCTTACCTGGGAGTCCTTCTGTGTACACGGCAAAGCTATGCATTGGTGATGCCCAGCCATAGGTGGCTGTTATTGTTTTCTTGTCCTGTAATTCTGTTTAGAAGAGTTTTGGATCTTGTGTGCTGTGTTGATGGTGATTCAGCCTCTCTCTGCTTTGTAAGGCTGCCACAGGAATCAGATTTTCCACAGTAAGAGGGAGATAATAATTCTTTTCCTCTTGGTGCTGTGCAATCTCCTTTCAGTACAAACATTCCTCAAAGGAAAGCTGAATGACAAAAATGTGATGCTGAGCGCTTGGAGTGACAGCTGTCTGTAGGCAGCGCAGTGGCATTGACACTGAAATAGGGGAACGTAGTCATCTTCGCTTCTCTTCTGCACTTTCTGGTAGGGGCAGGCAGGGGACAGTAGACACCAGTACATGCTTCAGAGGCTGAACAGTGCTCTGAGCTGCACTGAAGAAGATGTCAGCATTTTGGGTGCTGAGGGTGACAGAGCTGGGCCAGCCTTGTCCTGCTGGGCTGGTGCATCCCTGCTCCAGCTTGTCTGAGTGCTGCCTTGGCTGGGGGTGCCCTGGCAGCTGTTACCACTGCCGCTGGTGTGACCCCAGGCTGGGAAGAATTTTTCCCATTGAGATGAGAGTCTGAGATTTGAGACGTCTTGATGGGATAGATAGGACATAGCTGGTTTTCTGTCCTTCCGTGCTGAAGGTGCTGTTTAGCAATGGGGCAAAGGTTTCTGTTACAGTGAGGTCAGGAGAGAAGTCATGCAGTCTGCGCTCTTCCTTTAACTGTGTGTGTTCATGCTCAGCTATTGTTCTTTTTTGGCGTTTCAGTTTTTTTTTCTTTTTCCCTGTGATGATTTTGTTCCTAATAAAAAGATCTGTTTTCTAACTTGTTTTGAAAATGTTTAAGTTCTGTTATTTTTATAATCGTTTCCTCATGGTTTTCACTGAAATACAGGCTGATTTCCAAATTTTCACCTGGCCAAATAAAGGAAAGGTGATAACAAATTACCGCTGTTTAGAGCTGACTTGGGTGGTCTAGGGAACAGAGATCACAAGGACTTCTGTTTGTAAGTCAGTCCAGGAGAGGCTGTAGGACAGTGGCATGTAACTAGTCCCCATTGGAGTGTGTGTGCCAATGTGCCTGCACATCCGAGTGCACCAGTAGCTCACCAAACCCTGCTCTGGCACCTTGCCTGAATGGTGAGGTGCAGGGAAGGGATGCAGGGAGATGGCCTTGTTTCACCCATCTTTATCCATCTTTATTTTTTGTGACACCTAAGCCACCTTAGCTATGAGAGAGGATGCTTGACTGCATAGCTTCTTTTGCAAGAAGGAGGTGACTGTCTCATGCTCACCCTTAGACAAGTGGGCCCAGGAGGTGGGTAAAAACCAATGTCCTGATGGTTTGTGATTATGTAAAATCCCTTGACTTTACCATTACAAGGTTAGCCCTGGCACAGTGATGTGACAGGACAGGGGATGATCCTGTCCTGCAGCCTGTGAACCCAGCATCCCAAGGAGCCACCCACCTGAATTTGCCGTTGTTTTCCAGCCTGACTATGGCTCTGCACCACCCAGACAATAGCGAGGATACTTTTGGGCCTGAAAAACCAGGATAAAAGATCTCTGTGTGGACTCTTTGAGGCTTCTGGTGGCCTTGGTGAGACTGTGCCATGCCAGCCCTGCTCTTCCTGGGTTGCTGAGGGAGCCCTTGTTGCCAGGGTGCCTCTGGGTGCCTCTGGTCTCCTGTGGGGAGCTGATGCTTTTCATGGGAAGGTTGCTGCATGGAGAGCTGGCAGTCATGTCATCCTCTCCAGCCACTGGTCCTGGCTGGGGAAGGATGGCAGTAGGGCAGGAGGATCCATCCCTCTGCTCATCAAGTCCTGGCAGTGTCAGGGGAGCTCTGCTCTGTGGGAAATGTGAATGTTTTGGGATGTGGCTTCTTTTCAGCTAAGGCAAACGACCAATGGTTTGTATTCATGTCAGCGTTTCAAGGTGGGAAGAGAAAAATTACCCTCTGCTTGTGGCATATGCTAAGCAACAAATGACGTAAAATGTAATATGCGGCCTTTTCTTCATCTAATTTATGCTTCTTTATGAATATAAAAGGAGAACAAAGAATTATCTTATATGACTTAAGGTAAGTGAAAGCAAAAGCAGAAAATAAACATATAACAGGGAGCAGAAAAAGAGTAATGATCCCTTTAGGTTTTTTTGGCATTCAGGATGAACTCATGCTCACAGAATTCTCATGTCAGTAAAGCTGCACGTCCCAGTAATGAAGCAGTTTGGGCTCTGCTTTCCCAGATCTATCCCAGGCTGCAGCACCTGATGTCCCAGTGGCTGTGTACGTAGTGCCTGGGGTCCTCCCTCGGAGCCCAGCATGGGGGCAGAGGCGCCAGGGCAAGAGCCGGCAATTTGGGGGGAGCTGAAGGACCAGCCCTCTCTGCTAACATTAGCTCTGCAGAAACAGAGTAGAAGTTGGTAAGTCTGAGAGCTGACAGACATAACCAATAACAGGCCAGTTCACAATAGCACATAAAATGTTCTTTGTAAATACTGAAGAGCCATGAAAGACTGCTGTTTTTGTTAACTTCCGATTAAAATCCCGATGCAGTTGAAAAAAACCTCTAGATTTTAGGCATGTGCATAGTAAGTTCTTGTCATGTTTTATGAATTATTGCAATTCATTTCAAAAAAGGCAAAAGAGAAGAGTTCATGTGAAACTCAGCTGTAGGTTACAGTGTCACTCATAGATATCCTCAAAACAATTTCCTTAATGTTAGCCAACAAATTGTGGTGGCACTATAAAATCTAGAAGAGTAGGACTTTCATAGATAAACACATAGAACTGGTAACAGGAATGGGCAAGAAGAGCAGTATCACCCATATCTGTCTGAGATGGATGCAGAATTTGGTCATGTGTCACTGCAGAAGCCTGGATTAGCATTTGGATATTGCTTTTGCCTTCAGCCAAGCTCCTCAGTGCCTGTCTGCAATGAAACTCTGCCTGTACAAGGCTAGCAGCGATGAAGTGCCTCCTGAGCGTATGCAATGCTCCCCTCTTGTCCTCTGGTGTAAAACATGCTGCAAACAACATCATAATCAGCCCAATGGGGACCCTGTGATCTTTGACAACTGGTGACTGCATCCGGTATTGGTTTTGTTAATAATGAATGCTGTGTTTCATTTCTGCAAGATTATGTGACTCATCTCTCAGGCAGGGGATGTGACTGGAGGTAGCAGGGGAGTCTTTATTGAGAACCTAGAAGGCTCTTAGATGAAGCCCTTCTAAATATTTGTATTCTTCCAGCAAGCAAATGGTGGCAGGTGTTGTGTTAATTATATCAAGATTAATTAAACTTGGGTACGATCTCTTTGGGCTGTGCAGGACCACTAGGACATGTGGCATCTTTCTGGCTGGCCTCCCTCAAACACCACTTTTTTGGTTCCAGGCTGGCTGATGGGCTGAAGTGGAGGTCTTGGCC